GTGCAGGAAAGTAGGGCAAATGGCACTGGTTAGGCGCGTAGTCGAAGGAGCAGCAGCGTGGACGGGTATGGAGACGACATCCAGCTGTTACCACCCATTCCCGTGCAATTTTCATCCGAGAAAGTGACACGTGACACTTGTTCGCACAGTGAAAAGCGGAATCTAAATGAATTTCAAGTTTGTCTGCTGTATGGCAGTAGCGTTCCTACCTCTTATACATGTCGTCATCTTCGCCACCCCATCCCCAGTATCGATTTGAAAATCCATTCGTTTCTTGAACTGATCCAACGTAAGTGCCGAGCTCATGCCAAACATCTCTTCATAGTGAAGCCTACAAAGTTATAATAGGGAATTTACTATTCCAAGGATGAGTTTTTTCTATAAGACCCATCTAGTGCAACAGAAAATGACTGGTCCCCCTAGTAGAGTGACCTACTTGTAGTCAAATTTATTCACTGCTACTGCCATATGCCGTGGATTATTGGTAGGACAAGTGTGCAAATTACGGTCATCTTCCGGTAGAAGGTCCACATCATGGAACAGATAACATTGCCATTTGTAGATTTTGTTGGCCTCCATAAATCCAACATTGAGCAACTAAACAATGAGGTTTGTCTAGTTTCTCAAGAGTTTCGAGGGCTCAGATAAATTCCCAAATAGCCCACGTGTTGTTAAGAATTTCACAGGCTAAAATGTTGCACAACCACGTATTTGTCTGAGTTACAGCGAATTGCAATATCTAGTATAGTATATCTCACTGTGAACTCGAACGCGTGATCTTCTAAGCTAGAATAAATGCAATAATTCACCTTAGCTCGATTAAACGTTTGATTTTCGATTTGCTCCACCACTATAATGGAATAGTCCAACTTTTGTTTTGTGAGGAATCGGTGCATATTATTCAAAAGTATACGAAGGTGAGATTGTCTGTCCCGATACGGAATGATTACTGCGATCTATAAACGCAAATTTAGTAAGGGCTAAAGGAAGCGATTGATTACCTCAAGAGTGTTGTTTCAGAAATGCTCTAGTCTCTACAGTAACGAATAACGCTGCCTTTCAGTCTGCAATTGCTTGTTCAACTAGGGCTAAATCTGCAGAGGTGTTCAGTGAGCATCGCTAACTGCAACCTGTTCAACGCCCGATGTGATATAAAATTGTAGCTCCCTTACTTCCACCAAGCTAAGCTATTTGATGGAGCCTTTATACGTGTCGTGCCTAGGTGCTAACAAGATGATGGCACCGGCCAAGAGCGCCTGCGTCACGACAGAGCGTGGAAAATTGCACGGCCCACACCCCTTAAGTTGGGGAGGGAGAGGGGGGGGAGAACGCGCACCTGAATGCTTTCTTTCACTGGACCTGCCGCGGGTCATGCAAAAGCTCCCCTTGCGATGCGGAGGTCCAAGCCGAGCACCCATAACTACCAGCCGAGACAGTAAGCGGAAGGACACACCAGCTTTGAAGACATTCCTTATAAAGGAAGGGTTTAGTAAAAGCACGAACAAAGAAGAGCTTAAAGTAAGCAAAGCATGGGCTAGCAAAACAATTAGTATTGTAATACATAAGCAATATTTATGAAGTAATACAGAGAGAGGAAGAACATAATAAACAAACAGAAAAGAATATTGGAAGAAGAAAACACTTCAAAACACAGATGGTCCGTTACGCCTTCTTATCCCCAGACGAACCATTATTGTCTTGGAAACACCCAGAGATACCTGCAGACTACAGAAAACGAGGAGCCTAGGAGTAGAGAAAGTGGGACGCAGCTGATCGCTTGTGACAGAGGAAGACCCGCGGATATGTGTCGTGATGGCTGTGGAACGGTGACGCGTTTCCACAAGCGCCCGAGACGAGCGCTTGCTCGTCTCGGGCGCTTGTGGAGACTGACTTTGGTTAACGGAAGTGGAACTCACCCTAGGTGCGGCTTCCCGCGCTTCATGCATTTCAGGATAGGACTCACGGGAGCTGGTTCCAACCGGCTCGCCATTAACCGACGAGACGGTTGGGCGCGATTCACGACATTGAGTTACGCGACTTTCAATGTATTTTCAATGAAACAAAATGATGATTGTGATCGTCAATAATTTTCAGAACTCCCAATCGCGGAGCAGACTGCATAGGAGCTAGAACATGTGTAGCTTGAAAAGTCCTCAACGGGAGATCGTATTCGCCTCTCCTCGCCCAGTGGCAGAGATTTCAGAGAATTCGGTAAAGTGGTCAGTCGGTTGTTGAAGGTTTTCAAACCACAGGAGGAAATCCAGAGGTGAAA